AAGAACAGCAGGTCACTACTACGCAAAGTAATTAGTGTTTGTAAACTATCAGGTTGTAAGTAAAAGGTTTTCCAAAGGTAATATATTAGATGTAAGCTTCTCTGACAACTTGCCTGTACTCCCCTTAGGATACCTGGCCCTGCTTCCACTCTCCATATACCTTGTTTTTATACTTAACTTTGTCCACAAGCTCTCTGCTCATCCATACAGGCCTCATGGCTTTACTGCTTGCCTTTTTTTTTTTTTTGTCTTTGGGACACACAGCTCCTAGGCACGGAGGAAGTAATCCTTGAATATGGACCAGCTTTCCTAGGCTCCCACTCCTTCCAGAGCTTTTTTCCATGGTACCCTAGCAAGCAGATCCTTGAAGAGACCAAAACCTCTTCTCTTGAAGTCGAGGGTAGTGAGCTTGCTTTGCTCCTTCCTCACTCCCTAAGATTCCTGAATTCAACCATGTCATGTTCACTGCAGCCTAGTCTCCCATTAGGTCTTACATCACTTTGGGGCCGAGGGATACACATGCTCCAACAAGCCTCTTCTTCCCCCAAAGAATTTCAGAAGCAGACAAGAGCTCATTAAGACCCCATGTGTGTAAGATAACATACAAATACTCATCACTGTCCTATGAACACCATCAGGCCCTAACTGACCTGACCAGTTTCAGCTGCTGTCTCCACCAGCCCTTTCTGTCCCAGAAGACCCAGTTAACCTCAGGCCTGTGTCCCCCAATCCTGGCTGGAGCTTAAATACCATGCCAACCTCCAGCTTTGTGTTCATCTCCAGGATGGACCTTAGACTTAAGTTATGTGTAGCCTTCTCCAGAGTCCTGCATCCAGCTCATTTTATTTTGATTCTTACTGGAGTCTCTGAATAGACCCAGGCCCTGGTTGATCATTTGCCACACCTGGCACTGCTGATGGATCCTACCACCCACAGTGCTCAGGCCTCGTGGCATGGGGTGTCCCACTGGTGCAGGCACTGCCACTGCTGGTGCAACCTCAGGTCCCTTGTCCTCTTTTACAGAGCAGCCCTACTTGTGCTGCTCCCAGACACTATCACTCAACAGCACCAGACAGATGTATTTCCAGAGAAGAAATAAGTATTTTTAACTAAGTATTTCTTACTAATTTAAGATCCTGTACCAAACCCAATGTTTCATCCAGTCTTTACATAGAGAAAACAGCTAAGATCAACTGTGGTGTTGGTACGAAAAATTGCCATAACTGGACTACTAAGGTAAGCTGACAAAATCAAGAGTCAAGTCACAGTAACATGTACCGTGTCTTGTTCTTCACTGATTATATTTTATTTCCAGAGACTGCTGAGCACTGCTGTCTTTATACAGCTATGATTTACTTTTCAAGCCCAGAGTAGTAACTTTTAAAGTCACCTGCAATACACAAGTAGAGAGGGTGGGAAGGGGGAAGAGGAAGGCAGGCCAGGAAAACACAATAACCTGTATTTCAAGCAAGACAGGATTCCTTGAGTATCTGATATGGCATAGAATGGGACATTAGTTAATTTGGATGTCTTTTACAAACCAACATGTTTCTTTGAGGTTTTCAGAATACTTAGGTCGTATCAAGTCCTACTTGGCTTAATTCTCCACAAAGTATTTTTGTGGCTTCTAGTATTTTTTAGATTCTCCTATGGTATAAAACATAACATATTGACTCAAGAACAGCAGGTCACTACTACGCAAAGTAATTAGTGTTTGTAAACTATCAGGTTGTAAGTAAAAGGTTTTCCAAAGGTAATATATTAGATGTAAGCTTCTCTGACAACTTGCCTGTACTCCCCTTAGGATACCTGGCCCTGCTTCCACTCTCCATATACCTTGTTTTTATACTTAACTTTGTCCACAAGCTCTCTGCTCATCCATACAGGCCTCATGGCTTTCCTGCCTGCTTTTTTTTTTTTTGTCTTTGGGACACACAGCTCCTAGGCACGGAGGAAGTAATCCTTGAATATGGACCAGCTTTCCTAGGCTCCCACTCCTTCCAGAGCTTTTTTCCATGGTACCCTAGCAAGCAGATCCTTGAAGAGACCAAAACCTCTTCTCTTGAAGTCGAGGGTAGTGAGCTTGCTTTGCTCCTTCCTCACTCCCTAAGATTCCTGAATTCAACCATGTCATGTTCACTGCAGCCTAGTCTCCCATTAGGTCTTACATCATCAACTAGCCTCTCTCTGTTGATGAGAACAAAGTCCAGAAAAGCATTTTGTCTTGTTGGTTCCTCTACCATTTGGAGGAGGAAGCTGTCATCAATGCACTTCAGGAACTTCCTGGACTGCTGGTGCTTTGCTGCGTTGTCCCTCCAGCAGATACCAGGGTGGTTGAAATCCACCATGAGGACTAGGGGCTGGGAGCATAAGGCTGGTCCATCTGCCTGTAAAGGGCCTCATCCACTCAGCCATCCTGGTCTGGTGGCTTGTAGCAGACCCTCCCTATGACATCTCCGACCCCCGTCTTCCCTTTAACCCTAATCCATAAGGTTTCAGTCAACTCATCCTTCATCCTCAGGTGGAGCTCAACAGACTACAGCTGACCATTGATGTAGAGGGCAACTCCCCCTCCTCTTCTGCCCTGTCTATAAGCCCCTCCTAAAGGGCTTATACCCACCATCCCCACACTCCAGCCATAGGAGTCATCCCACCAACAACATCACAGCCCATGAGGCATGCACACATCTGCAATTCCTCCTGCTTATTCCCAATCCTCTGTGCATTCTCATAGAAGCTTTTAAGATGGTCCCCCTTCAAAGCAGTTGTGCTGGCAGGGATAAAAATTTGCAGATCAGATGCTCTCCTGGTGGCCTGTAATACTCCTGCAGGCCCAGGGCATTATTACTGGCTCTGTCCTCAATGTGGTGGGTGGGGGATGAAATGGGGGTCCCCTCCCCCAGCATCACTAATTTAGAGCCCTTCTAACTAAATTGGCCAGCCTCTGCCCAAGGACCCTCTCCTTTTTCTCTGACAAATGAACCCCATCAGCCCCCAAGAGACCAGGTTTTTCAAAGTGGGTCCTGTGGTCTACATAGCCAAAGCCCTCACTCTGGCACCACTCCTGTTATCATGTGTGAACTTTTCCAACTCAGTTGGCCCCTTGCAGCACTTTCCCTTTGACCGAGAGGGTTGATGAGAACACTACCTGTGCTCCTGAGCCCTTCACCACCTCTCCCAGTGCTCTATGCTCTTTCCTGATAGTCTTCAGGTTATCTTCTATCATTGCTGCCCACGTGAAACAGCAGGAGACAGAAATAATTGGTAGGCTGTACAAGTTTGTGTATCATTTTTGTTATCTCTCTGATACAAGCCCCCAGTAAGCTGCAGACTTCTCTAGACCAGGGTCTGGTCTACAAATGGGTCCCTCAGTACCTCTAAGAAGGGTGTTACTCATCATTGCTTCTTCTGAGCATGCGTTACACAATGTGCCAAGCAAGCTGCCCTAGTCAGATCTGGCAGCTTATCTTGCATGGGTTGCTTTTCCCTTTCAATCTGCAGAACTGTGAAATGGTTCTGCAGGGGCATCTTAGGCTTGGAGGGAAGTCTCTTCTTCCTTTAGGCTTTTGCTTTTACAATATTCCATTCCTCTTTCTCACCCTCCACATCATTGAGTTCCCTCCTTTCTGTTTTTGTTAATGGGGGTGCTTTTGTATCTTGCATTTATACCGTGTGAAAGTCAGATACAACCAAACGTAAAAGAATGCTTTGCTTATTTTTAATCATGAAAAAGATTTTGATCACATGGGCACAAACAAGATGTCAACAGGAAAGACCATACAGGGAAAAAATTTAGATCACTTTAGTAACTCTACCATAAGACCTCATATCCAGACTTCAAAAAACAATAAATGCAAGGAACTGCAGTTTAAAAAGGTATTATAATTTCAGCAATGTGACAACATGTCACTTATATGCTTACTGTAAGTCAGAGGAAGAAAAAGTAACCACACTAAGCTTTGAACGTATTCTGACTTAAGCAGCACACTAGGTTTTACAGCAAAATATGAAGGCAAGATTAGACAAGAAAGAAAAAGGATAGCAGCAGAAGTCTTTTATGAAATGTTTTTAAAGTGCTAGACTAAGCTAAAAAAAAAAAAAAAAAAAAAAGAGACCTAAGGTCTATCACTTCTTTTTTTTCCTCTCTAGGCAGTAAGTTCACACCTAACAGGGACATCGAAAGTAATATATTTTATATTTTACCACCTGGGGATTTACAACCTAAGTTGGAGAACAGGGGAAAATCAGAAGGGTTTTTTTGTTGTTTGTTTTGTTTCTTCTTTTTTTTTTCCTTCTTTTTTTTTTTTATTTTAAGAGACTGGCCAAACAGGAGGTAACCAAGTGGAGTTAAAAAAACGGAAAGCATAAAGGGAAGGAAGATTAAAATAGAATTGCTCAGAGTAGAAATATACAACAGAAAATTCTTGTAGTTTTATGGAGAACTAGGCATCCAGAGTTGCTTTATAGGCAGAGGGTAGCTTATTCAAACAAAGAAAAAGCTGAAATACAAGCAGGATAACTCTTTACAAACTAATTAGAGGTGCAAAAAGTAAATACATGTATCTGATTTAGCCATTGATACATCTGAGCTGACAATCAGGTGTTTACAGATCTTAGCTACGTTTATAGATCTTAATGAGTTACTAATGATATTCCAGAACTGCTTTCTTAGAACTCGAAAGACCACAGGAAAAAACTCTGAGAACTCCAATTTTCTTAGGACTTTTTCATTTGAGAAGGTGTTAGATGACCTTACAAAGAAGACTGTGCAGTTGTATGCAGTTCTGCAGCAACAGAATTCTTGTATCCAAACAAGCAGAGAGAGACTCCTTTTCCAGAAAAAATGCCATTTAAAAAAAAATCTTTTACTATTTAAGAAACTTTTACTATCAACCTGCTTCCTTCTGCATAACCTAGGAGTAATACACCAGGCCTGCAGGAAGAGATAAATTGAATTCCCAGGCAGTAGTGAATATTTTATAAGCTTGGAAGATTCTTACCCTGTATTGATGGAAATTATTTCTATCAGTGGATTCCTCCTAATCTTCGGTAAATCCAGTCGTGCTCCCCCCAAACGTTTTCCATTATCCTTTTTCTGACCCAGCAGTCTCACAGAATGACCTTCAAATAAAGCACAAAAAATGCAGTCAATACAAAGTACTTGCTTGATTTCATTCGCTCTTCTTCAGAAGTAGTGTTTATACATCAAAGTTTGAAAATGAGAAGGAGACATAACAATTCATTTCCACCAGCTGGAGCATTTAAGAAGAGACACTGACAGGTAAAATAAATCATGTTAAAATTAACAAATAATTTCATTCAATTATCTTTTCACACTTGCATTTTCTGGTTTTTTCACTTAAGATTATCTAAGCAGCTTCATTTTCTGATTCTCAAACAAATATCAACATAGCAGTATTTAAATAAGTTGCATGGCAGGTATTTTTTTCTGAAATTTCATTCAAGCCTGAACTAGTATGTAATAAACAGTAAGATATTTTTTAGCTCATGATATGAAGAACTACACATTTCAGCGAAAGTCACCTGACTCTCTATGTCTGAGGGAAAGTACTGTGAAGTATATGTTGGTAACATGTTCAAGGCTAAGCTGACTATCAAGATTTAGGCATATTTCTCCTACACTAAGGAAACTGAAAGTTAGAAGATGGTCTCACAACTCCTTTCTTGAGCTTCCCTTCCTTTTACTTCAGAAAGCAAATACTATCACCAACTGCCTACAAAGGCACATCAATCATTGCACATCAAGTCCTACGTTTAAAGAGCACAAATGAGAGTTCCCCAATATTCAGAAGCAAGATTTAACAATGAAGAATAAAAACAATTCAGTGTATATTACAGCGAAAGGTAGTGTAAAATGGCCCCAAGTTATAAACATAAGACTTGAATAATTTATTCCACAAAACCTAGAATAGGCAGATAAGAGACAGCAAGGGAAAGCTAATGCTAGATGCCTGAAAAAAGGTGGAAAGTAACCACTTCTTGGAGTGGAAGAAAGAGACAGAGGGTATATCTGTTGAAGTGGGAAAACTCATGACAGTACATGGAACTAAAGGTACAATCTGGCAAAAATTTTTGAAAAAAACCAACAGA